AGCGATGTTCTAAAAGTGCGATTCGAATTTCTTTATCACTGGAATTTTGCCGCCGGAATTCCGCGAAGCTCTTTGATAGAGCGCAAATTGAGCGACACGGATTCTACAGATCAGCGAAAGAAATAGCGTCGCGATCAAGGAGCTCAGCTAATTATTTGGCTATTTAAAGAAGGGGCCAAATAGAGACCAAGAAGTTCAATAAATGCGGCCAGAGGAGAGACCAAGAATTACTGGAAAAATTTCAGCATCAAGAATTGAAGCCATGAAATGAGACTGATGATTTTTTAACAGAATTGTTCATTAAATAACGACAATGAGGCGGCACTTGTTACGGCAAAATTATGCCAAAAATATTTTGACTCTTCTTTTTAGAGCTTCATTTTCATGTAAAAATAATATAAATCGACGAATATGAAATGCGTGTCGTTTTTCATGTCTGTTAGCTTTCGCTTGTCAGTTTTCATCAGAAAATAGTAACAAAACCTTTCTCTTAAAAAATTGATAAAGCGAAATATTCCGAGGGCAAGAGCTTAGATTTAAGCATTTTCAGCGAAAACCATCGAGCCCAGCTTTATTGAAAAAATTCCGGAGCTGACGGAAAAAAGTGTAACTTTATAAATACGTAAGAGCAAAACGTGGAGTCCCCTCAGAAACTTTTTTATCATTAGATTCAAAGTGTCTCCGTTGAAAAAGCTACATTTGAAGAAAAAAATATTCGGAAAAAAAATTTTTTGACAAAAATTTCAATAAAATGACAGCTCATATTCAATTTATAAAAATAAAATTTCATATTTCAATTTAACCGAAAAATATTTTTTCGAAATAACTGCTAGTTTTGTTAAATTCCGCCGTCGAAACCTTATCCTCCCTCTTCTTAAATCTCTCTTTCTTCGGTTTTCAAACCTCTTTTTTTTAATTAAATGGTCAAAATGACAAATTTCGAGAAAAAAGTCCAGTTCTCAAACCAAAGTTCACCTTTCAGCTGATCAATTAGCGTTATTAATTGGTACTTACCACGGGTATTAAGGGTGTCCTAGCTTCGTTGAAAATCTCTCGGTAGAAATGGCGGATAATTTGCGAGCAGCCTCGGCGAGCGGGTGAGCGGTCATTGCTCGCGAGCGCCATCGGAGCAATCCCGAGCGCGGCCAAATGAGCGCTAGTCCATTCATATAATTTTTAAATCATTAGATTTGAGACAAAAATAAATACCTAGTCTCTAGTTTCTCTTTAGAGAAATAGCCGCGTTCATTAGCATCTTATAAATCCTGTTATCAATATTCAAAAAGGCAAAACTCAAGCATTCAAAGTCGTAAATCTAAAGATTTTTCTCAATGAATCAGCCTTTTTTCGTGATAACTCCTGGTTCTTCGTAAGGGTTGATTCATTTTTCTCACGATCGCGCAAGATTTTTCTGAATCACTTGACGCTTTTTATGCCAAAAAAGTAGGATTTTTAAAGAAAAGCACCTTAAAAAAATATACCATCCTCCTAGCAAAAATACTCGTTTCAAATGTGTCAAATTAGATAATTCGACTTCCCGCAAGAAGCTGCTAATTTCAATTTTCGCCGAGTTTCTCGAATTTTGCGTCAAAATCGATTGACAGCCCTTGCCCGCTCAATTCACGAGCGTCTTTCCGGCTTATTCTACTCTTATCGTTATTTTCTGCCAATGTCAATTTGAAATGCAAGCCGCTTTTCGTTTCAATGATTATTTTATGAGTTTCTTCCGAAAACAAGGAAAATTTTCTAAAACGGGATTAGATTTGAAGTTGTTCTCCTCCGCCAGCTCAGCCCCAGATAAAGATAATAACAGTTACGAGGATCCTTTTCTTTTGGGAAAAAAGGTCCTTTTGAAATTTTGGAGCTGAATCTGGGACGATGTAAGACGCAGATAATATTAGGAAAAAGGATCTTGTTGAGAGGAAGGAGAGCGCATAAGAAAAAGAAGGGGCGAAACGATTAAGACACGAATTAGAAGCTTGTTCAGTTTTCTTATCGCAGAATTTTTTTGCGCCTTATCGTTACTTGCAAGTGATAATTACTGTAAAAAATTACGAAAATTCCGAATTGAGTGTTTTTTTTTCATTTTGTTTTTTTAAACTTTATTCATACAGATTTTTGAATACTTTTGAAGGGTTATGATTAGGGTCAAATTGATATTGAAATTTGACGATGATATTTTGCTTCTTTTTTAATTTGTACGTGTTGAAATTAGGCGAAAAGCGACACACGTGGGGACCATTAATGTTGTTTATAAAGAAACCAGATCCAGGAAGGAGCATCTGGAATGCAGCTATATTTATATTTTTCGTGTACCTGATTGACAGGGCATCCGCCTGACATGTCCAACTTACAAAGTTGGACTACTTTTTTCCGCGAAAAGATAGACAACTATCCCACTAAAAGATTGTTTATCTCTTGCTTTAGAAATCATTTCAAAGAAACCAAAATTTCTAGTTTTTAAAGAAATCCAAGCTCTGAATTGCGAGATTTTTGACAAATATTCATTTGAAGCGATCACAAATTGGCCACTTCCGCGACGTACTTCCACGTGATTAATTAAAGAACTGCTCAATTTAAATCAATTTCAAATTCGCCATTTTTAACATTCCAAGACATCATTCTTTCAATGACCCTATACGTCTTTTTTCGATGATTCTTCGAAAATCTCATCCGAAAAGTCAATCGATGAACTAAATAAAACTTCAAGAAGAGGAAATTCTTGTACCGGCAATACATAAAGAATATGTCTTCAGTATAAATTTTTGTGTTGCTGGCGAGCTTGAGTCTGCCCGCCAAATATCACTGGCGACAAATTATCATCTGTGTTCACTTAAAATGAAGCACGAATTACTAGTAAGAGCAGTAGTCTCTTGTTTATCACGTTGGCTTTTACTGTCTTTGATTGCACTGTACTTAGACATGGAAAAGCTCAATCAATTCGACCGCAAATTTTCGCAAGATACAAATAGAAAAAGTGAAAAATCTTCCTGAAGCTACCTGATTGCTTGAACAACATTTTGTCGCCCCGCGAGTGGAGGTGAGAGCCTTAGAAGTAGGAAATTAGGTCCTCAGAAAGGGAAACCTCGTGGGTCTATGAGCTACTCACGCCGAAGATTGCTAAAGAAACATCAATCTGAGGCGTCTTTAGATCGATTGAACCACCTCCGATTTTATCCCTTTTGGCGCCAAAAGAGTTTCCTCCGGAAATTCAAGTTATCACTTGATTGATATTCACTAATCATATTTTGTTAAACGCTTTAACGTATGAAAATAAAAGACTGTCTTTCGAATAGCAACCAAATCATATAAACAGCTTCATGAGCAAACTCGGAAATAAAATAATCAAGCGGCAAGTGAGCACTACTAAAATATAAGCATTTTCGTGAGGGCTGATGCGTTTCTTCAGTTTTTCTTCTTGGAGTAAATCTCGCTTACAGGTGCACCACTTGACGCTTTAAACACGACGACGTCCTCGCGACGGCTACGGGTTAACCTAATCCAGACACCACTTGCCACTGTTACTGATACTGTTGAGTTTAGTTAAAAGAGGAGTTTGCTAAAGGGACTTCTCCAAGTTATCTTAATTTCGAGCTAAAGGATGTAAATAAGCACAAGTCACAGAATCTGTGTGTGACTCACAGATGTTCCAAATCGATCAGCAATTTTAGTGACCGCTTGAAAACGTTACGTGGTTAAATCTCGCCAAACTTGACTTCTTTCGGGTCCGACCTCAGTTGCATCACCCAGTTGCACCGCAATCCTTGGCACCTTCAATCAACCGCACTGGCATTTTTATTAATGGCGCCGGTTAATTTGAAGCGAAACACTTTTTTTTTGAGAAGCGTCCGTAGTTTAGGGCTCAGAGAGATAACCGTGATTGTTTGATTGAAATGATCCAATTAAGCCGGGTGCGGCCCGATCAGCCGGTAATTCGAAGCCAGGGACAGAAGTTAATGCACAGCCGAGCAAGTTCAAAAGAGTTAGACGAGTTTTTCGTGATCTCCCTTGGGCTAAAAAGCGATCAGCTGGGTGAGGGATTAACTCAATCAGGAATTTATGCAAGCTTTTATATAATAATGCGATTCAACTCAATCGAATTCTCATTCGTCCAAAACAGGGAAAACAAAGTGATGTGTGTCATTTTTTTAGAATTATGTTCAGTAACAAAGTTATTCAATTATCTGCTTCCGCTTTGACCAAGCCTTACTCATTAAAAACTCATATTCAAATGATACTCCTTTATTTTCTTTACTGTATATTTCAGCACGTTTATACTTTCTTCGGATTCTTCATTCTTTACCCAGAATTTCGGAGGATACTCTTAAACAGCAGCACAGCGCTAGAATTTCCCCTCCCTTCGGCGAATAGCTAAGCACAGATTTAAAATCACGGAAAATGATTTTCCAGCGTTCAAAGAAGAAGATAAGTGGATAAGAATTTCGGAGACACGCTGGACGATATCCTGTCGATCTCTGACAGCCCTTATCAGCTCAGCAGGTGATTGAAATACGTATTATCTCTCTCGAACAAATTGGGGAGGGCGGGAAGATAAATTGAAGGCTTTCAGCGTGATTGAACGGAGAAAATATGAAAATACAGTAATGTGAGTATTTTCGCCTAAATCTGAGATTCGGTAGCTAAAAATTTTGGTTCTGATTTCTGTGAGCGCGGAGGAAAGAAAAAATTTCCGCTAAATGTTCGACCCCACGTTGCTTTTGAACTGTAATTATTACAGATCGCCGGGTTGAAATATCATATTTTTTCTAATAGAAAATGTCTGACCTTCTGTAAAAAAAGTTGCGTCAGAAGGAACAAACTACAGTGCCTTGACTTAAGCCTCAAGAGGCCACGTCTGGACCGGTGGATTTGGGTTCCGGGTCACATCGAATAAGGACTATTCCAAAGCGGAAGGTTTTCAAGCTGATTAGGCGATTTATACTTATGCAAGATGAACACACGATTTGAAAGTTTTTCAGTGTATTTTTACAGAAGGAAAATTAATTAGCAAAAGCGCCTTGTCGGGAATTATCCAATCCTCTGCCGACCGAGTGGTAGTAGGATTTCGGAGGGCTCATCATTTGACGTTGATAGTAGTCGGTCTCTCGCGATCCATTTACTGAATTTATACAGTTGTATTTAACACCGCATTTCATAAAGTACCTTCTGGAATTCTAGTGTTCCGACTTCGATAAGAATCATTCATCCCTCTGTTTCTATTTTTTCCGTAAGCGGCGCTAGAATCAGAAATAGAATTTCTATGCCTATCGGAATAGAACTCTTCCGTGACGTAACCAGATGTTATCGAAGACGGTCGTTGATGAAAAACTCGTTGTTTTCTATCTGGAAGATCGTGTTTCGCTCTTCTGGCCGCGGCTTGCGCCAGCGCCATCGTTTTGAACTAAAATGGGTTAAATTTGTTCGAGTTCGAGGAACGCACTCTTGGGAGACTGCGGTCACGTGGGCCGTTGTGATATTGATCATGAAGCGGGTTAACGGTATCCGGCTGATTGCCGCGAGAATGGTGTTTGAGAATAACTTGGCCTCTTTTGTAGCAATAGGATAAGATAAAGTACAACGCGCTGAAAACGGTGATTGATGGGAGTTGCTCGTTTTGCAATTACTGACATGGAACCTGCAGCAATTATGAGTGTTGTCAGGAACGTCTGCATTCCAGGATTCGAGGAGACTTCAAAAACATCGCAGGTCTGCCCGATCCATGTTCCTGTTTCGTTAGAATGACATCTGCACTTGGCATCGCCTTGGTTTCCAACAAAGCAATTCCCATTCAAACAAGGGTTTTCTGTGTCGCAAACTGATACGCTGCAATCGTCAGAGAAGAAACCAGCTTTGCAATTGCAGAGAAAAGCTGGCTGGAAGAGAAATGGATCTAAGAAAGTTGAAGGCTTGAAAAGAGGGTTTTTTACCTAGTGACTCGCAGAAATCAGTCCCAGTCAGATTGCAAGGCGCTTCTCTTGTAAAACAAGCGTCTAGTTCGAGATTGCAGGAGTCTCCGGTGAAAAATGGCTCACATTCGCAGTTGAACCCGGCGAAAAAGTTTACGCAAATACCCTTTTCGCAGAGTCCTTCTGCGCATTCGTTGATGTCAGCTTCGCAAAAATCACCAGTGAGCCCGGGAGGACAATTACAGATGTATCCTCGCGGGTCTGTGTCGCTAAATCGGATTTTATTGGAGAAAATTTACTATTTTCACTCTTGAATACACTCTGAATCGTTTTCGCATTCATTGCCAATGCACAAGTCATCAGGAGTAATTTCATATTCCAACTGGAAGCCTCTTAGAGTGACTCCATTATCGCTCGTGAATTGTACAGTACATGGGCCTGGGCCAATGAACGTCCCTGGCGGAGGGATGTTGTTTCCGCAAATGACTCCTGTACCAGTTCCATCATCAAAGGTAACCGACATGAAGTCCCATGTACACTGGCCTCCCTCTATGTTCATATCTGTGAGAGTGACGGAAATCTGAAGTTTGAAATCAAGGAAGAGAACGATCTTTATATTTTGGTTCTTACCTGAGCGGGAATCGCATTTTCTATCCGATATGCGCAATTTAAATTATTGTCATAATTCTGTGGATAATTTACAGACGTAACGACACCTGTCAGCTCTGTATATTCGAGCTGCCCGCATTGCGCCTTTCTACTGATTCAGAATTTACTTAAAACTAGAATTTTACGAATTGTTGAATCCATTCATAAACTGTCGCTGCAAAGGTTGAGAAAAATTTTATTCTAAGCATTTTCTCGATTTCTCTCAATTCTTCAATTTGACCTCTTTAAATTTTTTCAATTTTAAAAATAGTTGAGAAACTTGTTGAACGTTTTCAAGTGGCCAAGTGACTAGACGGTTTTCATTGTTTTTAATCAGATTTTCTCTAATGAAGATACTACAATAGTTTTGTTTATTGAAGAAACATGGATTAAGTACAGAATATAATGATGGATACAGTAGCACAAGAATTGATCTTTTAAAAAGTACAGTCTAGGCGTTTTTTAACATTTGGAAAAATAATTTTATAAACTAACACTTTGATCGAATCTAAAATTTCTAAGAATTGTTTCATAAGAACTCAGGTCGAGTCTCATGTTGAAGAAAGATTTGTGCGTTTCTTTTTCTAGCGGTAGATAACTAAAAATATGTCACTTTGAGAAGTCAAAAAACCAATTACCCGAAAGTTTTCATGAATTCGCTGCATTTTTGTTGGACGTCTAAGATTTCAAGTTGAGACGCGTACTGACTTCCTGAGGACTCTTTGTTCACCATTCTCCAACTAGCAAAGTGTTTATAATGGTCACCAGTTAGTTGTTTACCTGTAAAGAATATGATCATGAGAAAGTTTTTCGATCGCAGAATCCGAATTCGTTCTCCAAGGCTTCACATACTGGCGAACTGAAGCTAATAAGAAATAATTCACACTGTATGTTTTACTTTTTTGAAGATTTTCGACCGCTTCGTTGAAATCTCCGAGCTTGAATTTTTCATAAATTTCTTCAGTAAAGCTTTCGTATTCAAGTGAAAGATCTTCGTATCGTAAGAACACGATGCTCTTCGCGATGCCTCCCTTATTACGCACTGCCATGTTGTAGTTATCGACCATCGTTGAGCATTCTTTTTTGAGTTGAGAAGCTTCGTGTTTGGATCTCGCGGGAGTCCAGACTGCTTTTCCCTCGTTTTTTATGATCTCCAGCTTTCTCGATCTATCATTTAATAAAAACGATTATCAAAGGAGTCATAATTACCTAAACACGGAGCGGGGATCTCTCATCAAGAAGATTGCCTTCAAATGAATCTCCTGGTAGTTTATAAACTTCTTGATTTCCATCAGTTCTTGAAGAAGCGTGACTGACGCAACAACTGCATGTGACTTTTTACAAGTGTCAGAAGCTAATTCTTGTGTTTCGGTCTCCTCCCAGTTTATTTTGCAGCTTTCATGGCAGGTTGACGCTGACTTGGCTGCTTTGGATGAGCAAAAAGGTGGCGAGCAGAATTTTTGGCTTTTGAAATCGTTACAAATTCCTCTTTCTGCATTGATGGTTCATACAATAAGTCTTGGATATTTAATTTGATTGATGTCGGATTTAACTGATTAATCGACCATTTCCTAAGCAAGTTTTCATGTCCTCATCTTTCGCCACCGTCAAATAATTCTTCGCCAAGGGCACTTTGCATTGAAAAATGTCTTTGAGCATTTTCAATTTTTGCGAGTCTGTGCCTTGTTTTCCGAAAGCAACCAGTGGCTCAGAGTAGAACATGAAATTTGGGTTTCGGTTGAACATTTCTTCAAGCAATGCCGCGCCAGATTTCCATGCGCTTACGATCAGAATTGACGTTTGCTTGCCGCTCCACTTAGAAACTTTTGACACTGGCTTCGCGATTTTCTTAGGGGACTCGTTTTCGTGATAGTTTTCGCCTTCGTCTCCGTCTTCATCATCGATTGTATAATTCTGAGAATTCGGGAGAATCATTTCATAGTGCAAACTTGCTTAAAAATCCAAATCATTATTTATGAACGATCTTTATTGTTTACCATCTTGAAATCTTGAAGGGCGTAATTGTTCATTAAATTCGTGAAGAAATTGGTCTTTTTGAAGTTCAAAAAAATATAGCGTATTAACAACACCCTTGAAATTTTATTTCTGAGCATTTCCTTGAAGTGAAATCGCTAGAAAAACAAAAATGATTATGAAGACAATGGTGCCAACAACGCAATCTCTCATTTTTTCGTTTAAAATAAATATATCTTCATTAACCTCTCTCCATTTTCAATAAATTTCTTTTGAATATTTCTCTACTATCAATGGGCGAGCTTATCACCGAGAGAAAAAATGTCCATTTGCTGTGCCTGAGGCAAACTCACTTTCGTTGTTAATTAAACCCTTCTCTGCTGGAGCGGCCCTGTGTTGATGCCGTTGAAATCTTGCCTTTGCGCCAATCGTAAAGTGCATGATTGATTACAATAATAACAAACTATAATCGGCTTTGGGACCACCGCAGGCTTAAATGATTCTAACGCTGAGGTTCAAAACAGAAAAATTACTAATACGAGTCATAAATTTATTTTCTCTTTAATTTATTTCAAAATTCTTGTAAAAGACAGTGCTTATCGTAAGAATAAAATCATTTCAATAAATAGGGAATGACGACTAAGTTCGTGAGAGCTAGGTTCGTGGAACTAGGTTCGCGGTGGGTTCTGCCAGAGTGTTTAAATCGGGCTATATTTTAGGGCAGTAAGGGAATTTTGAGTAAGTACTAGGCATAAGACTGAGGGACATTTGCTTAACATTTACACTACTTCCAGTAGGGACCGGCATAAAAATGTGGCTAGCGTTTTCAAATAGAAAAATTAAGCCATTAAATAAAGTAGCGAAGTTACTATCACTGCTCTTTAGATGAAGCACTCTCGCGCATATTATAACTTGAGAATAAGAATCATCGAAATTAACAATGAACATCAACTAAGTTTATACAAAACTCACGGTAGAACGAGTTCAATCCATATTGACTGGTTCCCTGCGAATTACGGGCTTAAATGTCAACTAAAATTAAGTTAAAAAGCTAAAACCCTACTTTGATTCATTTGTTGAATCGTAATCGGCTCCTGATCAAGTGCCGCGCTCCTCATCTGCCAGATTAAAAATTCATCCTATAGTATTTTTCCGTTGATCACCATGAGCTCATTCATCCAGCGGTATAACAAAACTTTAATCAAAAATGAAAAGCTTAAATTTTTTTCTTCTTTCATTCTGCTTAGGTATCGAGAACATAAAATCACGTGGTTAAAAAGAGAGTTTTAGGATTCAGACTGACGCCATTTGAGATGCTCGCCGCGGACAATCAGAACTACTGGCAACCATTTGGATTGCGTCTTGCGAATCCTTACAAACAATCATTGCCATTTTTCGAAGAAAATCGGCAGCAAAAGAGACAATCCAATTTCGGAAGGAGTTTTTAAACAAAATATCAAATTTTATCAACAATGCTCATTCAAACTCCAGCAGTGCCGTTCTTCCCAAACATTGACTTCGTCGACTGGTAAACAATTGTCATTCGAATTTATTAGCTGTTTTTTCTCGTCAAATAAAGAAACTCAAATTTCAGAAGGACACTTTGTTATTTCTTCTTTTTAAACAATCGACCTTTTGATCCAGTTCAAGATCAGAGGCGATGAAACCCTGGTATAAACCCCAGGAGATCTCGGAAGAGCGCAGTCGTAGCCCCAGCTGACAATTCCGTCAATGATCCAAACTCCATTATGTTGGCACATGAGCGGGCCGCCAGAATCGCCTTGACAAGTATCCACTCCGCCCTGAGAATTTTAGATTTCAAGTTCAAGGAAAGCTCATATTTGCCTGTCGATATCCAGCGCACATTTGCGTGTTGTCCGGAACCACGCCGCCGAGGTATTGATTGCACTAGAATGTCAGCTAAGACCCGATAAAAGTGAAAAAATGGTACTCTTTTGTTCGAAACAATCGGTAAAGTTTGTTGATTGAGTGATGCTCTGGAAGTAGTACCCTTAGTCGTTCCCCATCCAGCGATGGCGCAGCTTGTCTTTTCTGGCACATTTTTGCTCAATGTTGGCAAGCAAATAGGCTGGACATAATCATTAAATTCCAGAGATCTTTTGAGCTTCAACAAAGCTGCATCGGCGTAAATTTCCTCTCGATCCCATTTCGGATGCAAACAAGCCATTGCAATGTCCCGTTGTTGCTTGTATTGATCTACGAATGAAATAAAAGGCTGTATAGCAACGATTCGTCTACCTATCTGCTCGTTGTCACCATCTTTTGTATGAGTTCCAGTATAAACTTCATACCGCTGCGCCAAGAAACAGTTTTGTGGCATGTCAGATGTTCGTCGATTTAAATCCATGACGCAATGCGCAGCAGTCAAGACGTAGTCAGGCGAGATCACTGATCCTCCGCAAAATGATCGACGGCCTTATTTCAACCGTATTTATTTACAGTCATTTTTCTGCTCACCTTTAGGGGCAGCGGGATCACGAAGAGATACCATCCATGGGAAAGAGTGAGGCTGTGCAGTTTCACCACCGACAATTCTATCTAGAATTGGCTCATGGTTTTGCTCCTCTTTGATGTTTACCTGATAGCGAGTTTTCTTGGCGATCTTTTGGAAAACTTTTGGGCGATCCTGTGTTTCCGACTGATCATCATATCCGTTGTAGTCATAATACTCAATTGATTCTGCAGATCTTCTTGATCTCAGATCCGAAGGATTTTTAGCGATCAAAAATTTCGGAGTGACTTTCGGCTGACCGCATGTACCGAATGTCTCTGAAGCAGTTGGCTCTGGCTCCCCGCAAACTCGAATATTGCAATATGCTGTTTTCACTCGCTTGTCTGTTGTGTAGCACCAGGGGCCTTTGGGGTCTTTGTTTGGATTTCGACAGTAGTTGTGTTTCTCGTCGATAAGGAACATTGATCGGTGAGGTTTGACTGCATTCCAGCTTTGACAGAGAACCTCTTCTCCAGTTTCCGTGATTGCTTTGTGCGCGAATCCTATCAATAAGTAAGAAATAATTCTAACAGAAAAGTACCTCTATATGATGTCCCAGATCTGTCTTCAAGACATGTTTCTCCTTTTCCATGACATCTTGGAATATCGCAATAAGCAAAGCGAACGCTGGGATCAGTTGTGTAACACCACGGTCCGTTTGGATCATTATCTGGATTTCTACAGTAATTATGGTTCATTGTTGCCCCATGTTTCGGCCTATGCGGAGCTCTAGCATTCCAGTTCTGACAAGTCTCTCCTGAAATTGTCTCGCGCAAATCGCCATTATAACTATTTAAATCTGAGGAATAGAAGCAATCGTCTCCATAAATGGTGGAAAGAAGAAAAATAACTCCTCTCATTTTATTTTAAGAGACTAGGGAAAATACGCTCCGCTGTAAGCATTGGGCAAATAAACAAATAGGTGGACTATTTACGGAGTGAAACATTACTTCAGCTAACAGTATTCTATTCGATCACCATGTCCAGAAAACAGTCAAAGTCTCAGTTGCTGGCGAAAACATCAGCTTGACAAAATGTACAAGAATGTATTATTCAAGCGCTCACAAATTGCTTGGACGCTTTTCAGCACAAAACCAGCTCTGTCGACGAATTTTTCTCCTTGAAAAAAGAGCAAGAAAAAAAGATGGATGATAGAAATTATAGTGAAATCGACAATCCTTTTTTCAAGATATCAACGAGAACTTTCATACAAATTTCTTTAGCACTTGGGTTAGTCACAGGAATGATCACTTACTACTGCAAAGTGAAGAGTAAAAAAATTATGGTTTGAATTTGTTCAATTTCTGTCATATATCGAGTTTAAAGAAAGCTAAGAAGAGAAAGCTGGAATTCGAGAGAATGAGGAAAACGGCGGAATTAGATGAATGCAAGAAACGGATGCAGAGAGGAATGGTTACTTTTCCGAGCAGGTTTGAACTAAGACTTTAAACGCCTTACGATTCGGCGTTATGTTTTAGGTCTTCACGCAAAACCTCGCAATTTCGATCGCCTTGCAACGATGAAAGCAATTCTTCAAAAACGGATAACGAAATTTCTCATCTTCTCACTATATCGGAAGTCTGCAATAAAGTATAGATTTTTCAATCTTTTTGCTACATTTTCAATTCCTTTTCAGCCTCACCAAGCTACATGAACAAGCTTTTTTTCACGGTCTGCTAAGAGACGTTACAAATTTACCGGGGCAAATGCGTCAAATACAGTGCTGTGATTGGCTGAATTTGGGACACGTAGCCTTTTGAAAAATGAAAAATCGCCATAAATCCGAAAATTTTTGAGATCTCGAAAATCTGAGATGATACAGGCATAGAGCTTGAGATTCTCCACCGATCCGTATAAAGATGTCTGGGGCTACGACGTATCCCCTAGGCGCTAGAGCAATAGTAAGTTTGCCCCGGTAATTTTGTAACGGTTCTAAGTAGAATTCATGTTCGAGGCTAGCGATAACACAGAGTCTATCCATAGAACCGTATTTAAGGATATTTTACTTGTTGATTGAAATCAATGTTTCAATCCAAGAAAGATTTGTCCTCATTGTGGACAGAAAGAGAGAATGATTTTCCCGAACGCAGTCACTAGAATTATCTTCGCCTCTGTAGTTTTGTCTGCAATGTAAGAATCTTATCATCAGTTCCCGATTCTAATGCGCATACTTTATAAGAGCTCTAATCGGTCTACGATTCGTCTTTGAGAAGTCAACTCTACCGATCGCTGAAGATGACCCATTTTTAAATTTTCCTTTGCGGCCCTTTCAGGTCTCTTCGCGAAAAATTTCGAAAAAAATCGATGTTCTTTCGACAGAGGATCTTACTATTTTAATCGGCGGAAAATAATTATTTTTTTTTTGATAAATTCATGCGTTTCAGCTGTTCAAGCCGTCAAATATCCCGAAAAAGTCAAATACAAAGAGTCAGAAGCAATTTGTGAGCGGGTCAACAAGACTCTTCCGAAGGAGGAATTCAGGGTGATGAATGCAAATTCACTTCCTTCAATATTTTGGATCGCTGAAGACCAAACAAGACGAGCAGATAAAAAGCAAGAATCTCGTCTTGAGCTCAATGTCGCGATTATTCAATTGCACAAGGGATCATGCGCAATTTTAGGTCTTAAGATAATGATGACTCGAAGCCTTAAAAATTTTTTTTAGTGACAAGACTTGCCAACCCATTGTTACCGGTCATGTTTATTTGCGAATATGAGGCGTTTGATAAATTCGGACAAGTGGTAGTCCAAAAAGACCTTCAAGAAGACATCAACTGCCCGCTTTTAAAAATGAAACAAACTTTCATTTACGAGAAAAAAATTTGGAGCTCTCTTTTTAAAGAGAAATCCTGGGTATTGGTGGATCAAACAAGCGGGTATCGACATTCACAAACGTATGTTTCTTGTTGTCCGAAAGCTCTGATAGAGTTATGTTTTAGAAAGCTCAGCGGATACAAGTTCAAAGATTTTTCGGAAGAAGAGACAGGAATAGATTGGTGCAAGTATGATAAATAATAGAGCAATCCACATATGTATATCAACTTTTAGAGGCCAACCAGTTCAGCTAGCTACAGCGACGCGACTTCGAGAGTTTGATCACAAAGTCATTGAAGGTTATTCGTACTCGACGTAAGTTTTTATCTCAACGGTTTCCTTCCTTATTTCTTTTTTTTTAGCGCGGCTACTCTTTGTTTATCGAAAAATTATGATGAAGAATAAATTAGTATTTACAGTTATGTTTATTGTTGATTTCAACAGACACGAGCGTTTTTGCAGAGGACAGTGTTAAAAAGTGATTGTATTAGTAAAAGCTCTTTCTTCGTCTTTCGGTGTGAATAAGGTTTTTCGTCGCACAGGCAATGGTCGGTCAAAATAATCTTTTGAAAATGTACATTTAGAAAACACAAAGTTTTGATTTACTTTGCGCTTTTTATCAAATAAATCTTAGGGATTCACTTTAACGAGTGTTATATAATTTATTATATAAATATTTTACGTGTAGTTGCTATTTTTGAATTGATTACTATTTACATTATTGACTATTGTTAAGGGAATTTCGGGATGTTAAATAAATAGAAAGTTTTTCATTCTTGGGCAGCGTGGAGGAATTTCTGGATGTGTTGATATCGATTCTTTCAAGTCGAGTTTCAGTGAAGGCTGAAATTAATGATGAGTCCTTGTTGATTTCTAAAAGTCATTTGGAGACAGAGACATTTTCCGTTACCGCTAGGAGATTTTCAATTTTATGAAATTGAATTGCCAATGCTTTTATACATTGACACTTGTTAATATAATTTTTCAGACTGTTATAAATTTAAATATAACAAGACACTTCGGTAAAATCAACCCCTCAAGAACATGATAATTCATATTTTTGGTTTTTCTACAGCGAAAGTTGGGCCCGAAATGTCTCTCCTCAAAAATGATGTTTGAAGAAAATCAACTCACAGTTGCGATCTCTTGAAGGTGGAGAATTTGAGTGGCGTGTACGTCGACATTTTCTTCTTCAGCTTGGTCGGGTGACCGTCAAAGTAGTGACGCTGTACCGGATTAAACACCTGATTATTCAAAGTGCATGTAATGCGTCAAACAATAAGAAAAAAAATAACCCTTGTACAAGTGTCAGCTAATCTTCAGCTTGCAGGTTGCCACATTTTGTTTAGATTTTACTCGAGAATGCGAAAAATATCTCCAATCCGGTCCTTGAATGTATCTAGCTCGGCGTCGAGGCTCAAGAGTCCGCGTTCCCATTGTTTGACAACCTTAATTTTGATTTCAATTTTAGGTCCTTTGGCAAATTTAATTAAAAACGCGCCCATCTCCACTTTTTTGGACTCGTGATTATTTTTGTTACAATGTTTAGCGTTAGGCCAAAAAGGTGTCGAGGGTCGTTTTGCTTCAAATAAATATGACCGACTATCAACTAATGTTTATACATCGGGCGGATAACGCGGTTTTACTTTTGATTAGCAAAAGTACCTGGTCGTGGAATTGACGAACGACTTTCCAATTGTACGTTTCTATTTTCGTCTGCATGTAGCTCAGGAGATCGCATCTGGCATCATGTTCTTCGTCTGAGAGACGCTTGTCTTTGAGAAGATGCATGTAGGAAGTGAAAAAATCTGAAGAAAAAAATGTGAAAATTTACCACGTGAACTTCAAAATCCCTTCATCCCGCTTTATCGGTTTAATTTCCGAATACAAAGTGCCTTTATTAGGCTCCATTCAAGCTGGATTAAGGGGAGCAATCAAGTACCTGATTCCGAGAGCTCGACAGTATTCGACGAGAAGCCTTCCGGGCTCAGCCCCGAGAATTTTTGACCGCGAAGTTTGTTCAGGAATTTGCCAGCGCGCACATCAGAGCTTCTACTCCTGAAGCAAAAAATGTGTTAAGAACACTGGGACAAGGACTTGGAATTGAAAAATCCAAGATCGGTCAGTACCTATGCTTGACGCTTTCTGTTTTACTCCTTCCTCTTCTCAGTGTTTCATCAAAGCCAGAAACGGATTTATCAGATCCATAAGCTTCGTCAGAGCTTGCGACGAGCGAAAATGTTGATGTTGACGACATGGCAGGTTTCATCATCGACAGCTCCTTAAGTTGTTGTTGAAAATAATTGACAACTGTTTGGTTTGCGATAATTATTTCTTCTTTCGACTGATTTTAGAGGATTAACTTGTTGAGAATTGAGCATCCTTTCCAATTATGATAAGAGGATCATCCTCTTGCTTAAATGTTTTTACATAATCGAGAGCCAATAGCTTTAAGGAGTAGCGAGAAATCTTTTATAGGATTCGTGGCTAGAAGCAATTAAAATGTTAAGGACTTGTTTTGGCGAATTGAACATTTTAAGGGTAGATGCATTTGAAAAACTGTCAGTTAAAATGAATTAAGGACCGTATTTCCTGATTAGATTAATTCTGAGTATATTACCTGATGAAGCATGTCCTGTCCAAAAGCAACTTCTTCAAAATCCGGCTCAAGAAGACCCTCAAAGGGAACCTGTGAGTCCATTTTCTGTCGATAAAACAAGTTCTAAACCGGAAATGTAAATTCTAGGGCTCTTGTAAGCCGCGCGGAGCTTTGTTTGCCGAACGAAAAGAGAGGAAATTTACCTGGTTTCTGGGGACGACTCCAGTGAGGACATAAATCAGTGTTTTCAAGTGTTCCATTCGTTGAGAGGGCAAGAAGCAGGCGTAATAGCGCATTCGGTTGCACTCGACCATAAGCCTAGAAAAGAGTCGTGTTACAAGCTGACTTACAGTAAAAAGAGAGTAAGAGGATATTGAGTAAAAAAGGGACAAACCTGATTCGGGGACCGTAAACGAAGTCAGTCTCCTCGCTCGGCATGATAAAAAGGTTGGAAATTGGCTTTCCATTTCTGTGGACGACTTCGAAGCAGTAGGGAACGTTCTCGTTTAAAATAATCTTTCTTTTTGCAGAGTTTATAAATGATTTTTAATGATGAATGAAGTTTTGAAAAAAGGCTAATAAAACCGTAAAGTAACAAACTTCTTTAAATTAAAATTAAAAAAAAAATCTTACAAACTCCATCCCTGAGCGGCTTGTTGGTGATTTGAGCACCCTTCGCCATCTTCGCTGGTTTCTTGATAATCTGAGTCTCTTCAAGAACGATTTTCTGTCCTTTGCCGCCTGGAAAAAAGAAATGTTAGTGAAAAAAATAACGTGCGATTGTGCGGCCCGGTTGTCTTTTGAATGAACGAAGGGAGAAATTCAGAAAGCTCAAAACAGAGGCGGGTAGTAATTACGCGAATAAACAAGAAAGTCGAACGGGATAGTCCAAAGTGGTGATTATTGTTGAGAACTCTTTGTACGGTTCCGATTCGGTGTTGGTTGCTTTTTTGACTGACTAAGAAGGGTAAAATAAGGGTTTTATGGCGATTTAAAAACGAGTCAGTACGCGTGGCAAATAGATTAAGGATGGCAGCAACGAATTTCCGCCAAAAAATCATCAGTTATCCAGAAGAAGCTTCGACGAAAAAATCCGCGTGGCAAAATTTTATTTTCAAAATTTCAAAACCTTGATTTTTAACTCGCTGCGAGGATCCAATTTTCCACCTGGATCGAATCAAATTGAGTGCGGTCAAACCCAACACCTGTAAAATTATAACCCGCACCGTAAATAACGGTGAATTATTTCCACTGATTCTTGTTCAATCTGTTACCAAGCATTAAATCTTTATAACTTGTAGTTTTTGATCTTGTAATTTTTTGTATGCAAAACCAGAAATTGAGAGACGTGGCCATTTCGGAAAAGTGTTCGAACGAGAGGGATTAAATTGAGCAGATTTAGATCTAATGCGATTCTGAAATTTCTAGCGCTAAATTCGACCTCAGCAAGCGTGTTTGACGGGGGCTACGTAATAATCTGTTTTAACCATGCCAAGTGTTAGACAAGTCTAATCCTTTATGTTCTACTTGCTTCAATAATAACGCTAGAATATGAAATGAGCTGAAAGAATCAGAGTCTTTTTTAGAAATGGGAAATTGCAAGATCAAAATCGCAAGGTTTTATCGACGTGTATGAACATGCACCGGCGTCGTTCGATTTGATGTCTTTTCACACATTTCTTTGCTTAGCCAATTGAAAATTGCATTATCTTTGAATTCCATTCACATTCTATTCAATAATAGACAAGCTAAAAACAAGAAGAAACAGATGCGACTTGGAGAGAAAGTCAGTGGGCGCATTGTGGCCGTGAAGGTTTGATTAAATTAGAAACCATGTGTCTTATCAGATAATTATGAGTCATTAACACGAAAGAATTTATTCGAGGTCTTATTTTAATTGAAAAAGTTAAAGAAATAACCCATTTTTAAAGGCATTTTTCACCTTTTTCTGCTCGTTTTTCACAACTAAGTAGACCCATTGGCGGAGTAAATGAGCGTTAAAGTACTTGGAGTGCGAAATGCATTCAGCCGTTTTCGACTAAGAAAGCGTGTGATCCATCAACCGGTTATTTAATCGTACCCTCGTTAAATTTCAACGCACCTTGCGCTTGTGCGTTCACGTCTCCTGCTCACGTGCCGATTCGATTAATAATTTTTCGTATTTATGCTTTTTGGAGCGAGCAAATCTCGTTTCAATAAAGTTCACCCGGTTGGCGGAAAATCACCGCTTCCCGAAAAGGCGGCGAAGTAAAGAAGGAACTAAAGGCGTATTTTTTAAGGTGCGGGATATCCGCTTTCCGACGTCGTTAGAAAAGCACGGGAGTGACGCTACAGGGTCACAGATCGGCAGGAGCGATTTGACCACCGCCCTTGCGAAATTATGCAAAATGAGAAGTCCCCGAAAATGAGAGTCGTTGATTACATAGCAACTTAACCACGTTTTGAGCGAAAAACAGAAATTAGACGTTTGACAAATAATAAGAAATATTCTTTTAAAAGCAACTACTTCATAACTTGTTGTTTCAGGGAGAAAAGCTGAGAAACAGTAGATAAAATTCTAGTGAAAATGAGGTCTATTTAAAATTTTCGAAAATTTAAATTAAGGGTGTGGTAAGTAGTTTACATTAGAATTAAGCGCGTGGTCGAGAATCCCATGCTCGTGGCTCCTTCTGACAGCCTCTTTGGTTTAAAAAAGGGATCATCATTGTTTTCAGTAAACGCGCGCTCGCATTTCTTCTAAAACAAATACTTAAAAGGCCAAGGGTTAAAAGGTAGTATTAATTGAGTAAAACTTTACGACGCTGCTGATCTGTGTCTCAGCAATTCACGGGGATCCAGACTACTCTGCCGTGGAAGCGATTCTAGAGACGGATAAAGGTAAATACGATTTTTCGCAAAGACTTTTCGTTCGCTGAAAAAAAATCAAATTTTGTCAATTTCCTTTTTGTAAACAACCGGCCAGCTCGAAAGCCTGTTTCCGCGGTAATTAAATTCATGAACTTTTCAATTTCACCTTTGTCGAAAGCAAAATTTGATGACTTTCTATTTGAAATAGGCGATTTTGGATATGGGATGACTTTTACTTTGGGACGTGGAAACGAGATTATTGCCAAGGCAGTTGAGTCGCTCAATCCGGTCATTATTGGATGGGATATCCGAGAGGTAAGATTCATCCCTTTTCTTGAGCGGTTCACTTCCGATTCAGGTCTTCGCGAATTTCGGTGTTTATTGGAAGAAGATTGTGTGCGAAGGTAACAGTCACGTGTCAAGAAAGAAAGTGACTAATTATTGAAATTCTAGAGCAAATTCGATGGGTTGGGCCGGAAAAGGGAGTCATTCACATGGCCGCAGCTTGAGTTCGAAAATATCGATTTACATAAACTTCTCTTAGAGAAAAGCAAGAAGTTGTTTCTTTTGAAATTTTTGTAATATAAATTTTTTTCGAATTCAAATATTTAGCCGCTTTGATCAACGCCCTCTGGGATCTATGGGCTCGTTTAGAAGGAAAGCCCGTGTGGAAGGTGACGTCAAAAAGTGATATTTCCAAAGAAGTAGAAAAATATTTCAGCTGGTGAGCGATATGACGCCCGATGAAATTATCAGCCTCCTTGACTTTGGATGGTTGACTGACGAGCTCACCGTACAAGGTTGAAATTACGGCACGAATACAATTGGATTATAGGCGGGATGAACATAATCCGGAAATGTCTAGCCCGGCAGCCCACGTTGATCATAATAAATGAGCGGTTTAATAATATCTCCTGGTCAAAATTACTTCCTTAATTTGATAGACAGTCAAAGTGATCACGTGCACATCAGGAACATCCCCGGAAAAATTCTGATATTTCATTGAAACCACGGGGTTATCTAAATATTATGCAGAGATCCAAGAGTAGTTTCTAGTGGGCAAGCCTTGCAAATTTGTATATATAAATCCGACCGAGCGCTTGATTTGTATTTTTGAGAAATTCAGAGGCGAAGGAGATTCTGGAAAAACGCGCAGATAGCAAGGAAGAACGTGAGGCAGAGCTGTTACGAGAGGGTTATCCAGGTATTTCTTGCTTTTTATTTCTCGCGATATCCTCCCGTGCGTATAATCGCCCGAGTTAATTGGCTCTTATTGAACAAATTTTCGCGGCGTATCTTTCTGTTATGGTGGTAAGGGAGGGCGTCATTAATGAGCACGTTAAGCTTATCAAACTGCTGGCTGGATCAACTATGAGGAGAAATATTTGCGGCACCGTTTGCGGACGGCGCAGGAGCAGGGATGGACACGCTTTAAGGTACTTATTAAAGAGAATTTCAGAGTGTACCATGGATAAAAGAATAGCCCGGCCAATAAGCCTCCATTACTTTAATTTTAATGAATTCTTAATATTACGCGAAAAAAGACACTGAGGTTAATCCAAAATAAACCCATAATTCTTCTGCCTCGCGCGTTTCTTTCCGGTGGTGCTACCACTGACCTCGAATCCCGAGTAATGTCTAATCTTTCTTGAGCCACTCAGCTTTGCCATCAATTAAAACGGATTATCAATCCAGTTGAACATACGCAGCTAGCGGCGTTATTATGATAACGTCTCCAGCGTTGTAATTATAAATCTCCTCGCTATAGTTTTTCATTTCCCAAGACGTGAGAAAGAAAAACATTTCTAAATCTTGATTTCACAAGGATTTCGAAAAGAACTTGAACGCTGTGGATTATTTCGCCGTAAGCCACGTAATCCAATAAAAGTCGATCCTCGGATAAAAATCGGAAACAAGGTCAAATGCTCGATGTTATTTAGAAAACTAGCGCCGCGGACAAACACAATTTTAAACGCAAATTAACGCTACTCATATGTTTCAAGCCACGCCCGGTCGGGCCAAAACGAGATTCTAGCGCCTTGAGAAAACTCCAATAATTTGACAGAATCATCGTTAATTAGCCCTAGTTGAACCCGGCTTCATCTGCCTTTCTGCTCAAAGCCGCGCGCAGCTTCTCAAAATCAATAGTACAGACGACTCGCACAATTTGGCCCTTTTTTGTTTTTGCGATATGTCGAAAAAGGGCCGAATTGTGCGGGTCCGAATTGTGCGACTTCCGAAAATATCCTTTTTTAGCCCCGGCTGATTAACTGTCAGTTGACGTTATTTTTGCTAGTTTTAAGAATATTGACCTCATTTGAGGTTGATCGACCTTTGAACGCAAATATGTAGGTTAGAAAAATGACATTTGTTGACATTTGACTGTTGACATTTGACATTTCATCATGTCGATGTGAAAGCTGAACGTTTTTCCTTTCCATAGATATAAGTAAGAAATGTTTATCATGACTAGAACATCGTCAAAAGGCGCTGCCTCAAATGAGGTCGATACCCGCGCAGGGGTATTAATTTTTCATCCGCGCAGGGGTAAAACACTGGTAAACTTTGTTTCACGCGTTAAAATTTGAAGTGAAAAAGTTCGAATGGATAATCACATAGGAAATGATGCTCCTTTCCCACTGACTCGTTCCTTTTTCACTCAAATTGAGTCGAAACGCCGATCATCGCCGAACATTCGAAGTGTTGGTCATGTGAAGTTGTAGGTGATAAGAAAGCCTGTCCTTGATAGATTTCAGTTCGTTCATATTTTCGAAATCAGCAAAACACGCACACTCATTCATTCTTATCCGGGATAAGTTATCCCCATGGCTGTCGATTTCGAGTCCTTCGAAATAACTCGTGATTTTTTAGGGTAACCCGCGGGTTTTTTAACG